TACAAAACGTGAGCTGGACGTTTTTTTCAAGGGTTATTTTCGCGTCCGGTGAATCGAGGGACCATTTGGAGTCTGGGGGAACAGGTTTTTTTTCACTCCTTGGATTTTGTTTCAAGGAGCATAGAAGAGGACGTGCGAGCGGGGTCTGATCAAAGTCCACGTGTTTGTATTTTTGAATTATACTTTTCTTTTTTATTAAATCGCCCGTAGAAGGCGCACCAAATTCGTACCAATTGAACAGTAGCCATTTTTATGTAAAAATTAAAAAAAAATAAAAATAAAATTATGAAACCAATTAATTTCTACTGTACTCACTTTTCTTATTAACATTTCCTTACATTGTCTCTAGAATTTTCAATTATTGACAAAACTTTTTGACAATGTTTCAACTGATATAAATACAAAGAAAACTTTCAAGTTTTTCATGAGCTTCATAAGAATTAAAGAATTATACATTCCATAGCACTGTACGTTTGTACTTAAGTTGCTTGTTATGTGGATCAGTAGAAAAAGTCAAGTATGTCAGACGCGTTGATTTTGTCAGAAGCTATGCTGAGTCTTTAAAAAAAGTTAAAATTCGCGTGTGCGCTTCTTACCTCACTTTTTTCTCTCTGTTCCTCTAGAAGTTCAAGCTGATATATCTGTCTCTTTTAATCCACTTAAGTACGATATTTTTAACCTTCAATTTAATCGTTTTTTTATTTGTCCACGGCGCCTCTAAAGCGTCTATCTCTAGACTAAATCTTTTCGTGACGACAAGAAATGCGGATCTGCCTATAGCCAGCAATCCGAAAATTAGAGCAACTGCTTGCCTTGATCGACCTTCCCCTTTGGGAAAGAGTTTGGTCCACAAGCCAATTAAAAAGTTTTTTTTACTATCTTACGCATCATTTCACAGACACTCCTGCATCACATACATTTAGAGGTATGTTATATTATTTTTCATAATCAGAATGTTATCTCTTTTGCTTGGATAAAAAACGACTTTGTGCCGAAAGGCTTTTTCCTGTCCATGCTGTTTTTTCATTAACTTGATAACTGAAAGCCTTTTTTCAACTTTAATTACGTAAGTGACAGTTAAGGGATCGATGCCTAACCTCTGGATTCTTACTCTCTTTGAGAAACAAAAACACATAATTGTGTAATATGATTTTTTAATATTTTATTTTTAGACGCTTTAAAACTCCAAATCATCGCATACGCAACATCACTAACGATGTTAATCGTATCGAGGACGCAAAGTGCTGTTTTGCACCTGTAGGCCCGGCGTGGGTCAGCTAATGACTTTGCTTCATTAAGCGTTTTTTATGACCTATGGATGTTTATTACATTTTGGATAGAAAGGAAAATTTTCAATATAAACGACATCTAACTGGAGCTATTTGATCCTTCGAGCCCAGGTACAGACCTGTTAAGTGAAAGTAAAGTATCATATGTAAAATACGAGAATTTTATGGAATTAATGATTGCAAAATTCACAAAGAATTATATTGAGCGCACGAAGTATGCTTGGATTCGTACGGGAGCAATAAAAGTTTTTTGAAATATATTGAAAAAATAATGTTGCTTTAAATTGTATTGACATACCAGTACATGTTTTCATGGAATCGTTCATATACGTAGTGAAATGTTAAAGCCAAATTATAACCTATGCGATCGATCACTGTGCATTGATTTATCATTTGTTGACCTATGAAGCTTGATGGACGGTCAAAGGTAATGGAGTAAGGGTGAAGGTCCTACATTAATAGAATAAAATAAAAAATTCTCCAGATAATATCAGAAAGCACAGTCATACTTGCTTTTTTATTTAATTATTAAAATAAGTGGTTTTTGAATGTGTTTATTATAGCCACAAGTACATGGTACTTTTACTTATTGTGAGGACTATAAAAGCGTATAGATGGAAATTGTTTCAAAAGATAAGGCTATATTGTGCATTACTTCAATACCTACTTCTATCACTATATTTGTATATATATTTTTATCTTTTTCACCACGCAATGCTCCTCACGGAGGGCTTAGGCAATCTACTCGCAGCATAATTGCCTAATTTTCCCCTACCCCCCTCCTATAATGGGAGGCCTCCTATCCCTCTTCCCTTGCTTCTTCCAAGTGCTAAGTGCCCTCAGTAGTGCCCTTTATACGAGCCAGACGTAAATCACTATAATATAAAAAAAAATATATAAATATTTTCATACTTATAATGTGCCAAATTTGAACTACTGGACACTTGTATCTTTTTACTCTGACCGTTGTATGTGAACAAAATTCTGGTACGTGGATAAACATTTTTTGACCTTTAATATTCTACACTGACAAGTTTTGTTTTCAAGGATTTTATTCTATTGGTATTAGGTCACTTGAATTTCTTTGCCTGTTTACAGCTTATCATACCTTGATAATTAATGTCTACTAAGTTTTACAGAAGATCAATTGTTAGATTTAAAGCTTAATTTGGTATTAATATTTTTAATTGATTTTTAAATAATAGAAGAGTAAAGATACGTACTTGCGATGCATTGCAGCAACTTTTTTTTTCTTAAAAAAAACGACAGAGACTGAGGTTTTTTAACTGTAATAAAACGAAATCAAAAAATATCTTGTTATATTCCGCTAATTCATGTTTAGATAACTCCTTCTGGTATCCATCATGTGTCCGATACAATATTAATTTGTTTCTTAATTCATTAATTGCATCGTAGTCGTGAAAATTGTTTACATGTATATATTTTTTCTACTTTTCTGCATATTCAGTGTGTAAATAAAAGATAGTAATCCGATTTGGATCTGTGAAGATGCTACCTCAATACCCAACTTAGCAAAAATAGGAGAAAACAAGCTTCTAACCTTATAATATGGGAATTTGCAGTAAGTTTTCTATTCCACCTGCCAAGACAAATAAATTGTAGATATCTCTGAAAAGGTGGTGATGGCTGAAAGGGGCGGGTAACTTAAATTTTATTGGGAGACAACAATAAATGAATTTAAAAAATATTCTCTTTTTTATGAGGGGCTATTGGGGCATTTAAGAAGAACTGGGCAATTATGTCAAGCCCCACTTTTATGACTATATGAAAAAATAGGATGTTTATCTATTTGTTTCCTAATTATAGCATGTGTAAATATGTATTCTGGTCAATAAGAGGATCATGTAAAGGAACGTTATGCATGGATGACAAATAATTCAATTTTATATTTTAATAATTTGCTTTTATTTTGTTATTTTTTTTTTTTTTTTTTTTTTTTTTTTTTTTTTTTTTTTTTTTTTTTTTTTTTTTAAACCCGTATTCAGTAAAGGTTAGTGTTTGCTTTAAATCCAGTCAAAAACAACGCTGGTAGTGCCGTCCATACACGTATGTTTTTGTATACATACACATTTCTTGTATCACCGTAAATCCGTAAATATAAATAATCAGTGTACGTAGAAATATATGTCTATATAAATCTGGTTATTATCATAAAATGTGTACTGTATAAAGTGTAAAATACATAGAAAACAGTTTTCATTTATGCTTATAATTAGTACAAAGATATTGTAATCGTGTAGTAATAAATATACTGCAGACATGGATTCCTGTAAAATTTTTAGCATACGAAGGTTTCAATAGATTAAAAATTATTACAGCTACAAGTTTTAAAGTATCAAGTTCAGATAAAATGACGGTTATTTAAAGATTTCACATCACAATTGTATATAGATACTATTGCTATTATTATTTTGAAGACGAGTATGTGTCAAATTTTCTTTCTGACAGTGAACACATCATTGCACATCTGATAATTTGATATGCAATCTATTATATTGTCATCATTTAGTTGCATGAAACTGTTCATGAACAAGAGTTAGTAACAATTTTTTATAATATTTTTTACAACAACAACTTTTAACAGTCACAATACACCCCGTATAAAAAATACAAGTTTTAATACTCGATTGTGCAAAATTTATACATAATATATGTACATAAGATTAATAAGTTTTCAGATACAAACAATTCGAAAAAGAAAAAAAAATATCTTAAAAAGCAACTTTTTCTCAGTTTTTACATTTGTGAGCGTATGTCACAGGATCACTTTCATTATTTTAATGCGATTCATTTTTAATTTTATTCTAAAACAGTATCAGTCATAATATTAGTATTAACAGATAAAAAGAAGGATTGCAAAATACGAGATTCTAATGGAGTGTAATAAAATAAATAACTACTTAAGCATAGAAATTTTACTGAATAACGACTATTTACAAGCGAGTACAAAGGTAGAACGGAAAATGTAATCTATAAGAACTTGTAACTTATAAGTTCAGTCAGCTTGCATTTAAAAAATAAAAAACTATCGCATAAATATTGCAGTATGTATAAAAATTGTTTTGCTTTTCATATAAAATATAAGGTAATTGTAAAGAAAACGATAATCGATAAAATCTATGATACAACACCAGAAAATGACACACGTATGTACACTGCTCTACAAAAATTGGAGTTTTTTAACTATTACTTTTGATCCTTTGTAGTTTCACGAAAAACAATGGTTTTACATGAAAAATCCATACTATCTCATGTTGCGAAAAAATAGTTAAATTGTAATCTATTTATTAAATGAATGTATTGCTTCAGATGCAAAGTTAAGTAATGTATATTGAATTAATTGTGTTGTTAAATTATACATTATAAAATATTTAACCAAGTGTACAATAACAATGCACTTACAGCTGTAGTAATCAACATAAAGTTACGTACTATCTATAAAACAAAAAAGATTTATCTTCGACAACATTACGTAACACGTTGCTACGAGTGTTAAGTTGTGACGTAATCGAAGATGCGTATACAGGTCGCATAAACTTAAACCGTTTAATCCTAATACGTACAAATCGATTACATAAGACGTTAAAAAAAATTGACAACCCACTTAGGTCATCACGTAAACGATAGTCAACTTCTTAAAAATTAATCGTTCATGGAACATACAAGTTGAATATATCATAGATATATGGGACCAAAATCCTGTTATGCTCGGAGCTATTGATTCAAAAAAGTACCTTTTGTTGTATGCATAAAACGTGTACAGCTGAAAACATTGTTAATGAATCCTATCTCCACGGATAAACTGATATACTGCGATGGTACAGCTCGAAGGTACCTTGTGAAAAAGCTCGAGATAAGCGGGATCAGTAAGCAACAGTGGAAAAATGTTTTTTTTTTTTCATTTTCACTTTTTTTATCATCTCAACAATAAAGCATGAACATGAAAAAAAGTAATCATTTACTCGGAAGACAAAGAAAGTTCAGGACGTACCTCCTGAGTGCCGTTACACGATGTTGAAAGCGATTCGTGTTCGAATCGCCGAGTCATCATGTTGGCTGTAGGAAGAAAATGAGATTGTAGGAAAAAAGATGCCCACATGGGCGTACTCTGCAGACCCACTTGTGCTTTACTGTCGCTATAGGTGCAACAAAGCAACGTGGATCGTTTATATTTTCTTAACTTTAGTTCAGTGATTTGTCACGCTCTCTCGTACTCTACGTTTTCAAACTAACACAAGTCAAATTTGAATCAAATGGAAATTAATGTCACGTCCAAAGGCACTATTCATAGTATACGATCATATTTATCAATGATAAAAATATACATAGACCGTTCTTCTTCTACCGATCAATTTTGTAGGCGTACGGAGATACGCATGTATAAATGCGCAGGAAAATTTACCACTTCTTGGAAAAATAATAATTTTAATGAGCTCCTCTCCCAGTGAGAGAAAGGGGCCTTAACCAAGCTAACTTTGACTGTCCGTGCTTCGATCACAATGTAGATAATGGCCGAAATCCTCACTCCAGTTTTGCACATCTTCATCGAGGAGGTGTCTTGAGACAAGAGAAACATGACATGGATCGAGCCACGAAGAGACAATTGAGTAATAACACGGTACAAAAACTCCACGACCACCAATCTTTTCGAGCCGAGGAAAACTGTATCCACTTAATTTTTCCCTTTTATTGAACACCCTCAAATTTTCCTCGAAACGAAAAGATCAGCTATGACCACGATACACAACCCTCTCACAGACAGTAAGGGTGGCAGAACTGGTAGACGAGCCTCTGGCTGCGCTCCGTCTTCTTCATGATGCCCTTCTTGTAGTACTGCCTGATGCTGCGGCTGAGCTTGTCGTAGTTCATGGCCGGCCGGTTCTTGCGCTTGCCCCACAGCCGGGCGACCCGCACCGAATCCTCGATCTTGAAGACGCCCTTGTTGCGGTCGAGCCATCGTATGCACGAGCCGTGGGCCCCGGGACTCTGAAGTAGTTCCTTTAAAAACTGCCACAGGTGAATGTGTGAGCCGCTGCTGCGGATTTTGCCGGTGACGCCGGTACTGTTTCCGGTGCTGCCGTTGCTATTGCCGACTTCGGTGATCGCGGAGCTTGAGTCGTCATCATCGTCTGTCGAAGGAAATCGAGAGTTTTCTTTATTTTGGATGTACGAGTATAGATTTTGAGGTGATGGGACAAGCGGGACTTCCGGTCCACAGTGTGTTTTCATTGGATTTAGAGATGGGTGGTATTAACTAGCAAAAAAAGAACTACTTGATCCTAATGAGGTCAATTACGCGTCATTGAAAACGTGACAGACTGGAAGTGAATGAGTTCTAACGAAGTGACTGGAGAATAACTTTTAATTGGTTACTTTCATAGTAGTGCATTAAATAATTTTAGTTATGTAGTTAGGATTCTTTTGTTTATTAAAAATAGCAAATAGTTGTGAAAAAAGTTGCTAAAGCTGGATAGCACCAATCCGGAAATTGTGACATTCCTAATTTCAATACATCTCCTAGTGTGTTGTTAAAATTAGTATCTCGTGTTTGGGAGGGCGTTTCAATCACCTTTACTTCAAATAATAAGAATTAATACTTTTTTACTTTCGTCCAGATCAGTACAGTTTTTTTTACTTTAATGTTCCTTGTAGTAAAGTATTTATTAGTAAATAAATTGTAATCTACATCAAGTAGGATAAGTGAGGGTATTATTGCGACTTTTTTTTAAGTGGTAAGCTTTAAATGTTTATCTAAGAAATTCAGTTCGTCAAATCGGTGCAATATTATTTTTTTAAATGTTGGACTTAAAAACTACTGAATTCTGCTTTTATAATGTATAAAAATTCATAAATATTAATTTAAAAAGAGGATTAAAAGTTAAGATGCCAATGCCGGTATTATTGTGAGCCTGTACGTATTATTTTGGTCGACTTCAATGCTAAATCAACGGGGTATGCGCAACAATACCATCATTGCATACGTTATTCTTTGTTATACCAATGTAAAGTTTCGAATGCTATTTTGGAACTAAAGCCCGATTAATTAGATACTCTATAACTCAATTTAATAATTTTAATTGCTCACTCGCCATAACTCATTAGCTCAATTAAAATATACATATTATTCGAGAGTTTTGCAATAACTGGAGCAACCGGAACAATACCCCCACTTACCCCTGTTTATTAATTTAGAAAAAAACTATTTTGTTAATCAGTAACGTGCATTTAACTTTAACAGTTTCACATCTTGACAGCTACTTTAGTTTGTCATGTAGTTTAAAACTAATTCGTTTCTTTTTAGCTCTAAATTACAGATTCTTCTACCTTTTGATTGGATGGAATTTGCTTGTGTTGTCTGACAAAATAACGTTTCAAAGAATCCACGTGGTTAAATTTTCTACAATTTTAATTGAAAAAAAGAAAGACAGAAAACAAGTGGGTTCGTTAACCGACTTTCTAATCGTCAGAGGGAAGGAGAAAATCTCGCAACCTCAACTCACCGTCCGAGAAGTCCATGGTCGAAGCGTCCTTGACACTGCCGGGAGCGCTGCTCGGAACGGACGAGGCGGTGCTTCCACTACTCGGTGACTGCACGACACCGGTAGGAGTCCAACTCACCGTGAGGGTGTTGTTGTTGTTGTTGTTGTTGTTGTTCGGTGACTCCTCGACGGCCGCTTTCCAGATCTCCAGCTGAGCGTGTAGCATACTGCCACACTGTAACATCAAATGGAAAGAGAATCGTACGATTAGTTTTATCGAAGCTGGGGCCAATCGGAGTTTTTTTCGATCGAGGCTTATGCTTCTTATGTTCATTTTGAATTATTAGAGATAAAGCTACCGCACTCAGGATTAGAGGACTCGTTTTTAATGCCAATTATTGGTGAATATGACCTAATTGTTCTAGAACTTTAAGTACGATCATACGTACTTTTCATCATAATGTTTTATAAAAAAAGTTTGCAGAAATAATTTTAAAACAGGTCATTAGAAAGTATGCTTGCGTTTTTGTCAATGTCTTTCAATTCAGTCGTGCAACTTCTATTTTTTCAGTTAGAAGTCTGTTTGAATTCACATACTATCCTGCTTTAGTTTTCCTATTTTTATACATCCACTACTATTTATATATAACCCTACTAATCATAGATTAAATCATGATTTTTACCAAAATTTTAAATACATCTTCTCTAAACTTTTGAGAGAAAGAATTCCGTAACTCAACGACAATATCGACCTTTCTAGCAATGCCAAACAAAATCAGCATCCAAAAAAAGCCTTCCAAGTATAGTTGTCGGAATCGGCAAGCGATCCTTACCCAAAGGGTCGCACACGTAACAGGACTGCATAACCCGTCAGTCGGGGTATTTGCGCCCGTGACTCGGGGCACTTATTAGGCACAAGAGCCTCTCACGATAAATCACGGAGTGACGTGTCGATGCATGCGACTGTACCTTGGTGAGGTCCGCAGGCTAATCGATCCGCGAAATCTGACGCGGAAGCCGTATACGTCGTCTCTTCGATCTTCGTGACGGTTCCGCGAAAATGTCCTTACCCAATACGCTCTGGGACAGAAAAAAAGAGCTCGTGTGCCCAGGTGCATAATATGGACACGGGGCGTTTTTGTGTGCGCGAACTATTGAAAGAGATTTCGGTCGATCGATCGATTCTAATCATTACGTAAGGCCACCGGTGCTCGCGTTATGCGCCTTTTTTTACGTAATTCCAATTTTTTTCATAAACAACGGCGGTAAGGAAAACATGTCCCTGGAAACTGCTTACCTGTCGACTGCGCGAGATGCCCGAGGTTTATGTACGGAAAATTATCAACGCACCGATCGGATACCGATTTCCGCTATAGCTGTACGCAGAAGACTGCCTCTTGTTTTCAACTACAAATGCACGATCCTGCATATTTGGATGAATGTGCCAAGGATAGAAGTGTGGTTTTACTATAAATCACAGCCATGGATTAAACGAGACACGTGCAAGGATCTCGAGCGCAACGAAGGTGCTTTGGCTTGTTATTGCGTTGTTACACGCAACGTGTAAAATTATTCCTTTACAAAGTCATCGCCGATAAATCATAATATTGAGCGTAAGTACAAGCTTTTGTTTTACATGATTATTCAGTACACGTGTGTGTTGGCGTACACGCTCTAATTGATGGGACACGGTTCGTGCTCGGCTTCTTTTTTCTTATGATGCCTGGGCAAGTATTTTTATATTTTATAAGGAAGCTGTGGTAGTGCCGTTGGGCAAGCAGTTACTCGTTGCAGAGCTGGATATGGAGGATCTACACCGATAGTGGAACACAAAAAAAAGTCTAAAGCTTAAATTTTAAAAACGATTCGTTTAATGAAAAAGATAATCTGAAATCGAGCTCACGCGGACTCACCTGTACCATCATTCGATACCCCGATCGTGGGTGTAACCCTGAAAAGCATAACTATTCCAAGGAAACGTGGGCCGATGAAAGATTTTCGGAAGGAACGAGAAAAACTGGGCCCACGCGCATACTTACGTCCAAAGGAAAACAGTACGCAGGTACACAGAGAGAGAGAGAGAGAGAGCGAGAGAGAAAGAAGCAAAAAGAAAAAAAAAGAATCCAAGCGAGCTGGAAGAAAAAGTAAGAAGACACGGGTCATGCAGGCACGCACGTACGAGCACTAGAATTTCCCGATCAGGCGCCTCGTGCGTGTACACCTACCAACCTACCATCGCTACTTACACAGACACCCAAACTGCTAGCAGCTAGCTGGTTTCTTCTTGTATATACCTGTACCCCATGATACACGTATACGCGGCCAGGAGAAAGCAGTCGCGTCTCTGACCTACTTCCGTCCGAGCATCGGCTCCGCAGTATTGCTAGCAAGCCTCTCTCTCTCTACTACTTACTGACTCGCATACTCGTTCGCTCGCTTTCTTACTTGCTCCGTCTTGTTTTTTTCCTCTCCTCGCAGGAAAATGCTTTTTTTAAAGATCGAGACCATTCGTCACTGGGATGCTTCTGTCCTTTCGGTACACAGGGTCAGGGTGGAAGGAACAGCGTGTGTTTTCAGGCGATGCTAAGACGCGTCTTTGGGTTTTGTACATTTGTACATTTGATTCAGCGACGATGTCCCAGTTCTTTGGGACATGCTCTAATTGCCAACTGGAATGCGCGCGTGTGTTTGTTTTTTTCATACCGATACGGTGGTAAGTTCGAGCGAGGCACTCGTCGATCCGATTGTTTAGATACGACGAGTCTGGGTGAAGGGACTTCTAATGAGACTAGTTCATTATCCATGATGTGATTTGTTAAGGGCACAAAAACCTACAATTTATCCTTCCTTGAAAAAATCGTGGTGTCGATAAAAAACTAGCAATTAGGATATTTTCGGGTCAAGGTATTCCTAAATAAAAACATCGAAAGCATAGGGTACGAAAATATGAAAAAAACGATGTATGGACTCGAGGCGGCTCGAGGTGGTCAATGGAAGTCTGTGTTCATTGATGTAAATGGTCATCTTTTTGGAAACACCTAGATTATCAGACTTTTCGATGTTTTTCTCTTTATTATTGTGAAAACTCCTGATGGTAGTTAATAAATTAATTTTTTTATGTCTATGGACTTAGAAAATTGGATTAGACAGAAAATAAATGTCATGAGAGACAAAGCCTCTTTGAAGGAAATAGAACTCGACAAGCTGATACCAAAGCTTTAATAAAAATAAGTTTTTTAGAATAAAAGAATTAGTCCTGCTTCTGCATCATCTACGGTGAAAGATTGGTACATTCAGTAATACCAAAATTGATGATGCTTAGATTGGCAAATATATGTCACCCTAACATTTAAAAAAAGATTTTAAATGATTTGTTTAGAAAAAAACCCAAGTTGAAACGGCTCTCGAATGATTTAAGACTTGAAGTTAGAACTGCAAAAGCTTTAAATCTGAACAAATATGGAATTACTTCTCTGACCTTGAACTTCATCGAAACAACCAACACACGCTGTTGGGACACCTTGCCTCGCACCAACAATCAATCGATCTCTCGGCAATATACTCCCCATTCCTGTCTTTTGAAAAAAAAGTAAAGAAATTCATAATAATTCATGAATGCGCGTTCGGTTAGCGGCGATTGCGTTAAATTCGCGACACACATTTCTTTCGCCATTGACTTTGGTGCCTGCCAACGAGACATCGGACCACTGGAAATCGCCGTGTAGTGGCATGGACCGTTACTTATATGCTGTTACGCACGCGCTCTCGCACATATTTATGTGTGTTTCACCGGCTACGCATAGCAATTTGGCACCAATCGTGCTGCTTCCTTTCTATACCTACCTGGATTTTTTTTTTTTTTTTTTTTTTTTTCATTCTTTTTGTGTATTCGAATACAGACTTTCGAAAGTAACAGCGACGTGTTCTTTTCGCTTTGTTTTATTGTCTTGCTTGTCTACTTGTTTGCCCCGTTCAGGGAACGATTATACTTAGGAGTTACCGACTTTTTTTAGACTACGAGATGTATTTTTCCATGAGTTCACAAAAGGTAAGTAAGTACCTATTGTAGAAAAATGTAGACAAAACTTAATTTCTTCGTAATATGTGATTAGTTTGAGCTGAGTATGATAAAAATGAAATTTTTTGGAGAATTCGAGTGGAATGCGTTTTTCTGACTCTGAGAAATGATGAACGAATGGTAACAGACCTATATACAGTGTTTAGTTGGATTTTGGATCTACAAGTTATGGTTACAGTGTTGCGACAAGCACACATATTGTGTACTTATTAATTGTGACAAAAATTTTTTGACTCCTGAAAGCGATTCATCGGACACGCAATCATAAACCATAAACAATTCCCACGTCCTTTTTATGCAAAAAATGCCTAGATGTACAATGTAAAAAAAAAAAGATTAGCAAGGCGCGTGAGCGGAAAATAAAAAAATTTGTAATCATAATAATTCAACGGCAAATGAAAACTCGGAAAGTCCCAAGTCTGGCCGCATTCCAGTCGCCTTGCATCGTATCGTGCGTAGAGCAATCGACAACGGCGCAACAGTGAGCCAGGAAAGACGTCATTCGCAGCCCGCGTCGATTTCCCGGAAATTCACTTTCACCCGCGGCTTGCCGCGCTACAGGCCATATACCGGCGAACGAACCGCAGCGCTAGAACGAAGTAGCGTTTTGCTTTGGGACAAGTGTATCCTCTTGAGGGATCAATTCGCTGGACAGTGTTGCGCCTACGTATATCTTTGAATGCGAATGCTTAATTTTTATCATGTGGATCACTGTAACTATTAGTATTATTGTTGTTAAAAAATTTGCGAGTCAACATATGATTCTTCGGATTATTTACTCGTGGAGTTGCGATAATCTGGAATCATGGAAGAAACTTGGATGATTCATCTTACGCAATAAAAAGAAATATTTTATCGAAATCCAGAAATGAAATCATGTATCATCCTCAGTGATTACGTTTTCCTCAGTATGCGAGTAAGTCAAGATGATGAGTTTTCAGAAAAATTTGAGTTACCTAACCTAATCCATTTGAAAAATCTGATGATCTTCATTGGCACAATCAAATAAAAAACAAAATTAATAATAATTTTTTACCTCTGTACGTTGCATTGCCATTGATGGCTAAGTTTTAACATGATAAATAAACTGTCTGTTTTATCAAAGAAAGAGGGTGAAGTAAATATCCCTTTTATGTAAGCTCTCATACTTTCTTTTA